ATGTTCATGGAAATAGAAACTATGCTAAAAATTTATATTTCACTGAAAATTGGTTGGTGATTAAATTTTAACGGTTAGTGCGGCAAGTTGTTGGACAGGAAACTATAGGTATAATAGATTACTAATATTTAGTCTGCATGCTATAGATGTGTGTGGAAAATATCTATTTAGGCTCTGGTAATTCTATGGAAACTGGGAATAGGTCATCATTCTAAATAAAGCCCTGTATGACCAAATTATGGATTCTGAATTAGCTTACTTAAGCATGTTTGTTCATCTGTTCTAACATGTTTAGTTTGGACTGTTGGTATTGACATTTATATGGTCATTATTTTGTCAACTGTGCATGTAAATAAGCATGTTGATTATCTATTTCAATATGCATAGTAAGGAGTAGTTGACATTGATATTTATATTTTCAATGTGAATCAATTATTGGTATTTTTAAGAATGGTTGCTAATGCATTCTATTATGTTTAGTATGGAATTGTTGATATTGTTGTTATAATTATCGATGCCTTATCAACTATTGGACGGATTGGATTGTATGTACCGGTATGGGACGGTGACATACTGGGTTTGGATTAGCTCAAATTGCTAAGTCCTACCTATTTTGGAGTAAGGGCACGGGTTATAAAATACAATCCTCCTTATATATATAAGTCGGTACGGTTGGATATGCCGAGTGACTTACTGGATTTCTTGTGGATGGATAGAAACGGAGTTTAGATATATTTTTATGTTACCGTGTCATGAGCTTGAGTCTCAGTGTCGACGGTTAGGGTGCGTATATGCAGTTGGATGTGTAACTGACTGTGAAGGTTGAGGTATACCCTGTTTAGGTTTAGGTACTCATACCCACTCAGGTGCGTATTGTGTGATGCCTTCTATCCAGGTTGAGACCCACTTCATGGCCTAGCGAGAGTCCAGTAGTGTGGATATATTTATGTACGGATTATTAGTTATTATTGAACTATTTAGTATGTACATGCGTATCGAGTCTCTGCTTGGATTGTAGTAGGTTAGAACTTGTTCGTGGGCCTGACCCACTCCTATTTTTCAGGTGTACGTCAGTTCCAGGCTTGAGCTTGTTCGTGCTGAGCAGAGACGATCTTCCATTCTACCGAGGATGTAGGGTTTCTTTCCGGATCTTGGATTTGGGTTTTATCTTTTATTTTACTTTCATTTAGTGTGAGACTTTTATTAGGGGTCCACTAGAGATGGATTCCCGAGTTGTTCAAATTATGGATATTTGGTTTATCAAATTTAAGTATTTAATTATTTAAGGATTATCTTTTAGTTTCTTTTCAGCTTTAAACTTTCATTTCTTAATTCATTTTGTATTCTGTGTTCTCTATAAAATATTAATTGTTTGATACTCCCTCGGGTTTGGGCCTGGGCCTGATCAACCCGTGTCTCGGATCCGAGGGGTATCACAGTGGGCCTCTTCCTTTAAGGAGTGTAGATTTCGAGGATGAAATCTCTTTAAGAAGGGTAAATTGTAATATTTTTAATTTTTACCATTTTTCATTTTCTGGAATTTTCCTAATTTTTTGAGATTTTGTCTTGTCTTATTTTGTGTGCCGGACACCGTGTAGTGTGCTGGGTGTGTTTGAGAGTTGGTTGGGATATTTCCTTGAGTTCAGGACTCTTAAAAATGCATTAGTTGCTATTTCGGCATTTTCTTATTTTTCGGGCCGAGAGGTCCATGTGGGACCCGTAAACAGATTTGTGGTGCACGAGTATTTTTTTTGGGTCCATTGCATTTCGTGCATTGGTATTTTGTGCATATTTATTTGATTGTGTGGTTGTTGTGGTGGTAAAGTAATTTGAGAATATATATATATTTATATATTAAGTTATTAAATGAGATATTTTATTTTTTTATTGAGGCCCACCATATCACTAAGCCATGTAATGGCATGGCTTTATAGCCATTACAACATCAGTTTTCTCTCTCTGACGCTGATCTTTCTCTCTCTCCCTTTTTATTTCTTTCATTTTCTCTTCTTTTGTAGGCTTCAATTTCTCCTCCATTTTTCGGCTAATCGGTCAAGTTTCTGGTCTTAGTTCCTTGACAGAAAACGTTCCTCTTGTCGTTCTCTATCATATAGTCAAAAGATTTAATTTTCAGAGGAGCGGTGATTATTTTACGAATTTTTAAAGTTTTTGGATCTAAGGCTTCGGATGGGGTTTTGGGCCACTTGGAGTCGGATTCTGGAGGCACGCCTTTGGAACAGTAGAATCTCCTCGTCATCAGCTATGTTCCCACTGAACAGTTTTCCGTTCTGCCGCCGTTGACCGACATTGACTTCCATTGACCGGCATTGACTGCATTGATCGGCGTTGACTTTTCTGGCCGCGGATGCATTTTGTCTACTTTTGAAATAAGGATGTCTAAACCATTAAGTTTTGACTTTAGTTAAGTTGGTTTACTTGATTTCTTGTTAACTATGATTAAAATGATAAATTTTAAATTTTAAATTTTAAATGTTAATTATGTGTGTATGTGACATAGCATGCTCTTGTTGGTTGTGTATCTATATAAATATGTGCTTAGTTGTAAAGGTGTTTAAAGAGCATGCCTTACGTTGAAATGTTTTCTTGAGGTTATATGTATATACATGATGACGATGATAAGTATGTATGGCTAAATTGATAAAATAGAAGCATGTGTTTGTCAATTTCATTCATGCATGATTCTATTCATGGCATGCGCATGGTTTAGGAAAAGTGAGGTTGAAATGATATTTTTTTTAAAAAGAAATGTTTTTGGAAAGGATTGCGAGGAAATGATTTAGAAATGAACCGGATTTCGCGAGTCCGGGGCTAGCTTGACCTAGAGGGAGCGCGGCCGGGTGTATGGCATGAAAAAGTTGATACTAGGCCCTTTAATGGTTACCAGGCTTTGCCAGAATTGGAATCGAGGATAACTATCAATCTCATCTCGGTAAAGTCAGTTAGCGGGTTTTCGAAAAGTGAATGTTTGGTCGATATAGACCAAGTTTGGGATGGGATGTATCACACTTCATATCATGTGCATGATTTTGAAGAATTGTGATATATGGCTGTGTGTATTGATTATTATGTTATAAATGTTGAACGGACTCCAATTACATGACCCCGGCTTCTTTTCTATTCCCATTCTTTGGTTGTTGGCTCATGGGAGTCCAAAACCGGTGTTTTAGACATTACCTACTGAGCTGTTGTGCTCACCCCTTATCTTAATATTTTTAGGAACTAGAGGAGTATGGACGTATGACTTGTATCCATGGACTTAGATGTCGCTGCCATTCTACTTGCATTTGTGAGTTTTTTTTGTGATGTTAATGATATAATGTAATTTTATGCATTGACATAAGAAATGACGGTAATGCCTTAAATGACCTTGGGTTCGGGTGAAGACCCATTTAGCAATTCGGACTCTCGAGTTCGTGTCGTTACAGTGTCGATTTAAGAGTATTATACTAAATAGGTAAACTCAAATCCAATCCATTTAATAATCGTGTCAAGAATCCTCAACGCTAACTCAACCCGTTTATTAAACAGGTAAACGTGTTAATCCGTTTAATAACCTGTTTATCAAAACGAGACATTTAATATTTAATGAAATACTAAATAATAGAAAAAAAAATTTCATAATTAACTTGAATATTCAAAAAAAAAAAAAAAAATCATAAAGCATATATAAGCTTTATGTTGAAATGACTTAACTATCCATAATAATTGGGTTTAAACAAGTAACATATTACATAGGTCATATTCACGATTATAATATGTTGAGTTAAATGGGTCATAAACGGGTTACATGGGTTGAATCCCTCAACCCTAACCCGACACGATTAAGTAAATGGGTTCATCGTGTCGACCCTTTTATGACCCAAACCCATTAATACCAAATCTAAACTCTTTAAACTCGTGTCGTGTTCGTGTCGTCTTGTAATTTGTCACCCCTACAAACAAACAATACAAAGAAATACATTTTACTCAATATTATTGTTAAACATCTTCATTGCCAAATTTATTCCACAATTTGTGAGAAATTATGCAATTTTATTTAATTTTATTTTATTTTTTTAATTGTGAGAAAATATGTAATGCATTTTTATTTTATTTATGTAATTGTGAGAAAATATGTAATGTCTTTTATTTATTTATTTATTTGTAAAAAAATATGTTAATTTAAATTTATTAAAAGAATTATTCCATTCAAATTAAAAAAAAAAAAAAAAAATCATGTGCTTGAAAAAATAGCCGTTTTAATAAATACAATCAAACAAAAAAATAAATATGTTTTCAACTTTTTTCACTCAAAATGTTAAATATATAAAATAAAAAAAATACAAAGTAAATAATAAAATAATAAATAGTGATTAAACCATACCGTGAACAACCGGTAGCAATACACGGTAACTAGCCACATCAACAACCAGTAGCAATACACATCAACATTGCTAGCCATAGCTATACCGGTTGCCGTAAGTTGTTGCTTGTATATGCTAGCATCCTCGTACCTTCATTTCTGCTACATGAATGATTTGTCATGTGAGAGGGTCGCGTTTTGGAAGAAATTCTACCATTTTACATATTTCATGGGCAAACTATGTTTATATCTTTAAAAACTACATAAATCATTGTAGAAAGAAACCCTAAATGGTAATGTACATTTGTACATTTTATACTTTTTAGTACCAACATAAAAAATTAAAGATTACTGTTGAAAAGTCACAGTTTTTCTATTTATATGAAAACCGGGACAGCTATAAATTAGGGAAAAAATCTTTAACTTTATAACTAGTTGGAAACTAATCCTCATTTAGCTAGTATCCTAATTTAGTTAGGAAAATCCCATATTTTATGGGATTGAAACTTTATTCTTTTTCTTATTGTACAGATTGTATTTGGCTATATATGGCCAACTCTCCGTGATGTATTTTTTATTCCCAAGAATAATAACTTCAGTTCTCGCTTACAATTACCAATATAGAACACACATGAACTACACACCCTCCAAACATGAGAACCATGTATTATTGATATAAGGACATTTGTACATTGTATACTTCTTAGTACCATCATCACACATCACACATCACACATCACACATCACACAGAAAGTTAAAAATTACACATAGAACAGCCATATACACTATAAGCCCTTCAAACACGAGAAGTTTGCATTCCAGAATATTCACAGAGAGGGTCGAGATTATGGCCCCTAGAGTGTATCAAACGACACTTCAGACACCACCTTTGCTCCCCTTCCCTTGGCCATATAAAGGCCAATGTGATGCATCAGCTCCTGCCACCGAAAAACAGAATAACGACAATAATGAAGAAATGTGTCTACAAGAAATGAAATATCTACATTTAAATACGCAAGCAATTCACGTGTAGTGTTTTGCTGGTGGAGATGCATTTTGGAGTCTATTTGTGGCATCTGTAATCTGAACTGTTTTCACCGTGAAGAATTTTAGAGAATCAACATTTTTTCGTTTAGGTTTCAGAAGTTCAAGCCTGAAGTTCCCCATTTCTCCATTGAATGTTACCACTAAAACCTTCTTCAGTTAGGTTTCTTGTATCTAATGGAAACAAAGACATTTTCACAGCCCGTCTTTTCCTAATTATGAAAACTTACCACATTTACCACCATATTTATACCCACTGTTGCACATAGTAATTTTCATTGCAAGAAACCGAATGTGGCTCTCCTGCCTACTTGATCCACATCTGAAACTAATCCCTCTACCAAAAATCCATATGTAGGATACTATAGGAGCTCTCTCGTACAATTTAAACAAGATAGAGCGAATGATACAAAGGGTCTCCAAAAAGGCATTTTCAGTTAGGTTGTCAAAATTGCTAAATGCCTTGTATGTTATTGAGAGAGTTTATATTTTTAGATAGAGAAATATTTGAGAATCAATCTTAGGTTCTTCTTAGATTATCATTTTTTATGTTAGTGGGATAATCAAAGCACGGGGCTGAATTGAGAATATCTATCCAAGCATCGACCGAGTGGTTCGTTTAGAACGAGACAGGATGACTAGTGGTTTAGACTGAAGTCACTAGAGATGTAGATTTGTGAGGAACGGATGCTGTTGACAAGTGAAAGGATTGCCTGGAGACTTTCAGGTGAAAAGCTCGGGATCTTCTGTGTTAGGGGGTAACTAGGGAATTCTGGGGTAGAGTCTGTTAACCTAGATTGTACTCGCTTTTGGGTCCCGTGGTTTTTCCCTGCTCAATGTTTTTCACATAAAAAGTATTGTCTCTAATTTATCATATTTATTGCATTATAAATTTATATAAATTAAAAAGATAGACACATAATCAAACTAAGAAACTGAATTTTAAACAAGGATTAATGTTAATTCAAAAAGTCAAGTAGGAGCAACCTAATATCCATAAGATCTAATTCACCGACAATCTGACACATGAGAGCCTCAGGTAAAGGTCCCGCAATATTTTTATCAGAAATCCTTCCCACCCCCGCTACTAGGGATGGTCGATGAGATAAATAGAGGTAACAAAATAAAACAGATGATGTAAATGTCACGAAGTTTAAACGGGTAGAGTGAATTAAGTTGCAACCGTTCAACTCATTAACAACTCAATGAAGCTTTGCCCCAACTACCGAAGTTGGCTAAAAAAGTCTGCATCCGCTGTTTAGCTCTTGCTGGCATTATTTATCATTTGAATCAAGTCCATAATATCTCTTCTCATACCATCAAACTCAGGCCAGGTCCTCTTACTTCTTGCTCTGGTAGAATTGATATAGCTCAATCTTTGGTCTTCATTTTACACAACCAAACAATTTTGACATCTACTTTTTATTTATTTATTTTGTTAGGCTAGTCATCCATCTCAACATCCTCGATTTGGCTACACATTATACAACACAAAGCATGGCTAGCCCAATCTTATATTATTTCTGAAAATCTCTCGGCTAATAGTTGGTTTAAACAAAATTCACATTAAAATATTTTTAGGTAAAAAAAATTGATGATCTCATTTATTTTTCCACCATAAAATTGACTCATAAAATTTTAATCACATTTTTTTTTTTTTTTTTTTCATAAGTCATAAAATTTTAATCACTTAATTTCAAGAAATGGAGCCATAAAAGTAATATTCAATCAATACTCAGTTTTATTTAAGAAAGAATTTCATTTACACTCCCTCTTAAAAGATAATTTACTAATAGTTTTAAAAGGCATGAAAAACATTTATATAAGCATGTATATATACACAAATACAGGCATATAACATATGTAAAGGCCAATATATAGGAACGTGTATAAGAGAATTATGTATAGGTGTATATATATGTTCATATATAAATTTGTTTATATATGTGTGGAGATTCATATACATGTGATGGCGTGTGTAAGTTGTAAATGCATAGTCCAGAGTGTGTATTTGGAAAAACTCAAATCATTTTCAGATTCTGCAAGTTATTTCAAATTTTCTAAAATTTGCATAGAGCAATTTACAAGCAACCAAACAATTATAAATTCTGAAAATATTTCACATAAAATGTTTCTTGTAGAAACAGAAGGACCATTAATGCACCACAAAAGGTTTTCTAGTGAAACAATTATGTTTTCCGTTCAAGCAAAACATATCAGATTAGACCGTCAAGAAAGCACCCAATGCACAAAGCATTTTATGATTAAATGCATTTAAAACTTAGAATCTTTAGGAGGAGGGCCTTTTTATTTGAACTTACATAATATTATTTACCCACGTCTACATGATTTTATAGGTAGTTATTATGTTCTGTTAAAATATCCACGAGTTTCAAGAGTAATGATATATATGATGCTCCATTTCCGCATATTCTAGCTTTCTGAAGTGTGAGATTCTCATGGTTAGTACTAAACCCGTCCACCACAATCGTCTAATTCAAGTTCAACAATTACCTAAAGATCCCTTTGTAACAACAACCCTACAAGTCAGATAAGAGAATGCATGCTTTGAGATCAATGTACCTGCGGATGAGGTGTAGCTTTGATGGTACTGGCTACATGAGCAGGGAGATCAAAAGTAGCACATCCGCGGGAATACACAATCACATTCTCCATAGGGGCAAGAAAACCACGGTTTCTTGCCGACAATGCAGAGCATACAAAATCCAGCACGCATATATCTGTGCATATCCCTACAACCAGTATCTTCAAAAAACAAAAGGTCGTCAAATCACAAAGATAGTCCCGCTACTGAGTAAAAAAATAACTGAACTTTTACGATTGTTTTTCAACCAAGATTCACTAAAGCAGAAAAAGTGAAGCTTTCTCTGTGGGATATACAAAATGCTTACAGTTTTGATCTGGTTGGTCTTCACCCAATTTACGAAAACATTAGAGCCATCTTTCTCAATCGAACCAAGAAACCCATCAATGCAATCCTTGCACCTGAGTGTTGCATTTGGTTCATTTTCCAACCACTGCAGAGCTGCACATCATACGTAGGAAGCAACGTAATAGAATTAAACTACATCAGCTGTTCGAGTTGCTACTAGTATATTCAGCTAATAAATTCTACTATAGAAACAAGGCAGAAGAGACAAAGTACCGGGAACCAATTTCGATTCATCTGTTCCAGCTATACAGTGAGGAGGATATGGGTGCTCGGGGACATCAGGATGATGAGAATCAAGAAAAGCGAAAACAGGCCATTTCTTTTCACAGAACACCTTTGCAAGCCTCACTGACTCATCAACCATTCCGGAAATTTGTTTATCAGGCGCTGTTGGAGCCTGGATGAAAAGGGGAGAAAAAAATTGATCAAAAAAATGAAATAAATATCAATATTTCGATGCAATAATTTGCTATTAATTTACATCAATAGTGGTGGTATAATGAACACCTGCCAACGAAGTGATACCGATAGGTTCAAATCAGCAAAGAAGAAAAGTTCAGTGGAAAAAACCTTTAAAATGGCCATCAAAGCAAAACCACAAAACTAAAAATACAATTAAGGCATGTTTGGGAGCAAAAAAGCAGAGCCATGGAATTGGAATTGAATTTGGTGGGAATTTGGTTTATGATAGGAAAAAATAAAAATAACAAACAAACAAACTTAGTTCAAAGCTGAATTAAATATCCTTCGATTCCAATTCCAAGGTGCTAATTCAGTACTCCCAATCGCAACAAAAAGATAAATCTTTTTACTAAATGCAAAACCAAATAAACAAGGTTCAAGTAAAAAATTGAAGGAAAGAAAACAATTTGCAAATAAACAATATGTTTCTAGAGAAAGCTTAATAGTTAAATTGGGCTCAGTTGAGTGGAAATTTATTCTATTGGATTTCAAGTGGTGAAAATGCTCACATTAAAAGATTTTTAATTTCTTTTATCTTCCACTGTTTTTCATTTAAAGAAACAACAAAATAAGGAGAAAGAAAAAATAAATCAAAATTCAGAATTATATTATATTTTTCACCATATTGCCATCATTAGAAACAGAAAATAACATAGACAATAACCATCTGCTTTGGCTTTCCCTTTCCTAGCAACCAAACAGAGGGTAAAACAAAAAGGACAAAAATAAAATAAAACAATCTCTGAAAATATGACCAAAACTAAATCACAAATCACTAAAAGGAACAAACAAACATGAATTGCCGAAAAAAGTATATTATTATATAATAAAACGTATAAATATAAATACATATACACACACATAAATATGTATTATAAAACAGGATCGGATCTGAATGGTGTGCGATCGATTGAAATTGGACATAACAGAAAGAATATATTCATATATGTGTGTGTGTGTTTTTTATATATATTATATGATATGATAGGATAGGATAGGATAAAATATATAAAACCAGATTAGAAATATATACCAAATGTCCAGCTCCGACGGTGCAGAAGCCATTAACGACGTCTACGAGAACCAGACCGGTGTTGACATCCCCGGCGACGACCAGAGACTCCTGGTCAACCACAAGCTCGTTCTTCAACAGATCAATTGTTTGAGACACCATTTTTTGTGATGAGAGAAACGAAGATTGAGTCGGTGATATATATAAGCCTGATAATTAGATATGGAAATCTATCTAAAATCTGCGTGTATGGTTATGGATGTGCATTGAAGAAAGAAAGCAGAGCTATGGGGGTTTTTTCACTCTCTCTAGAGAAAGACTTTGAATTTCTCTCTCTGGATTCAGTTGGTCGGATGGATAATCAGTCAATATAAGGCAGAAAAGAGACAAAAATATGGGTAATGGGTACGTCAAATCTAAGTGAATCTCTTTATCACCGTTGATTGTGAATTTCCCTGGATTAATAATACTAGTTTTTGGGAGGTGGTGATGCGGTCACCCGGGGTTTCAGTTTGGCAGGTGACTGACACAGAATATATGACACGTAAAATGAACCCCTTCAACTATTAGCCAATTGCAGCAACTTCCTTCGGAACTATAAACAACCCCTCTTCAACTATGAAATTTGTGATGTGATCGTGGGGTTTTGTGATTGGATTTTGCTAATCATTTCTTGTGATTGGATTTGGGGGAGGGGTTAAGAATTTTGGGAGTTGGTTTCCTTGTGATTTTGAGTTTATAATTTTGCAATTAGATTTGCTTTTGATTCGGGGTTGAGAAGCATGAAAAATACGTATAATTTATTCGATTATCAAATCGAATGGGGATGCATATATTTCTCGTCTGTCCCCATAAATCTGCGTTTGTAGCATAGTATTTTTTAAAGCATTTAAATATAGTTTCAAAACATTTGTTTTGGATTTTAACACATAAAACAAATATGTTACAACATGTTTGGGTACGTTGCAAATTAAAAATAATGATGCTAACAAAAAAATCAACAAAGATATTGAAACTCAATATAAATGTGTTTGAAATTTTTTAGGCAAAAGTGCAAAAAAGCCCTTAAATTATTACCAAAATTATAAATACCCCCAAACTATTTGGGATTGCAAATCGAACCTTCAACTATAAAAAAAACCTTCCTGGTCATCGGACCACATTTTTCGGTGGATGCCTCCACCTGCAGGTTTTGTTAAATGTAATGTTGATACCTCTTCTTCTCAATCTTCTCATGTGGGGAGTAGTGAAGCTGTTTTTTGTGATTCATCAGGCGTTATCTTGGAGGCCGAGGCCGTCATTCTTAGTCAGTTTCTAGCCTCGAATGCTACTGCGACTGAAGCTTTCTGTCTTCGTAAGGTTGTATTTTGAGCGTTGTCCCACCATTTCTCTCAAGTTTGGTTTGAATCTGATTCCTTAATGGTGGTTAAGGCTGTTTTGAATGTTGACTCTGAACGCATGAATAATGGCTAAATTAGGACATGTTTGACAATAATTTTTATTTATTTATTTTTTCTTTTCTTCGTATTTTCTGTTGCAACGATGTAAAATGCTTGATAACTTTTGTTGCGTATTTAACAATACCATGGTTTTTTGTCGAAAAGAAGTCCAAATTAAAAATAAAAAAATAACTCTAAATAGCCTTTTTTTTTTATTTAGTCATTTTGTTTTTCATTTTTTTTTTTTTTACAAATAAGAAAAAAAGAAAGGGAGATTTTTATCAGGCGCTGTTGGAGCCTGGATGAAAAGGGTGAGAAAAAAATTGATCAAAAAAATGAAATAAATATCAATATTTCTATGCAATAATTTGCTATTAATTTACATCAATAGTGGTATAATGATCACCTGCCAACGAAGTGACACCGATAGGTTCAAATCAGCAAAGAAGAAAACTTCAGTGGAAAAAACCTTTAAAATGGCCATCAAAGCAAAACCACAAAACTAAAAATACAATTAAGGCATGTTTGGGAGCAACTAAGCAAAGTCATGGAATTGGAATTGGAATTGGATTTGGATTTGGAGGGAATTTGGTTTATGATAAGAAAAAAAAAAAAAAACTAACTAACAAACTTAGTTTAAAGCTGAATTAAATATCCTTTGATTCCAATTTCAAGACGCAAATTGAGTACTTCCAATCAAAACAAAAGAATAATCTTTTTACTAAATGCAAAATGAAAAAAAAAAAAAAAAAAAAAAAAAAACAAAGATTCAGTTTGTTGGATGGAGAAAAGAGACAAAAAGATGGGTAAAGACGTCAAATCTAAGTGAATCTCTTTATCACCGTTTATTGTGAATTTCCCTGTTTCTAGATACCTTGGATTAATACTTGGGAGGTGGTGATGTGGTCACCCGGGGTTTCAGTTTGGCAGGTGACTGACGCAGGATATACGACACGTAACATGAACCCCTTCAACTATTAGCCCATTGCAGCAACTTACCGGAACTATAAATAACCGTCTTCAACTATTAACTTTGTGATGTGCTGGTTGGGTGGTTTTGCGATTGGGTTTTACAAATCAATTCTTGATATTGGGTTTGGGGATGGGTTAAGAATTTTGCTATTTGGTTTGCTTGTGATTGCGGTTTAGAATTTTGTAATTAGATTTGCTTGTGATTAGGGTTGAGAAGCAAAAAAAAATTACATATAATTTGGGTTTCATTTGTTTAGATGGAAAATATTTTTTTACTTTTTCGTATTTGGTTGTCCAAAATTTAAGTAAAATATTTACTGAGTAAAATAATTTACAAGAATCTAATAAAAAATAACTTGTACTTTTGTTCTGGAGGATATTTTTAAAACAAATGAAAATTCGCCTAATTTTTAAAACAAATGAAAATTCGCCTAATTTTTCAAGGAAGATATTTTTAAACAAATGAAAATTCGACTAATTTTTCACTCTAAAAAGTATTTTCATATATATGTGTGTATGTACATATATGTTTACTATCATTATTTTTTTAATTAATTAATTAATTTTTTTAATATAATTTATGAGTTTGCAAAAATTATTTATAGGTATATGGATCCATCAAGAAACTAATCAAGTAATTTATTTTTGTTATTATTTTAATTTATTATTATTATTACTACTACCACTACTAATACTATTATTAGCGATAGCAAATTATGACACGATACGAGTTAAAAGGGTTTGTGTTTGGCATAAACGAGTTTGAGTCATAAAAGGATTGACACGATTAATCCGTTTACTTAACCGTGTCGGTTTAGGGTTGAGGAGTTCAACCTATGTAACCCGTTTATGACCCATTTAACTCAACATGTTATAATCGTGAATATGACATATGTAATATGTTACCTGTTTAAACCCAATTAATATGGATAGTTAAGTCATTTCAACATAAAATTTGTCTATGCTTTATGATTTTTCTTTTTATTTTGAATATTTGGGGTAATTATGACAATTTTTTTTACTATTTAGTATTTGATTAAATATCAAATGTCTCGCTTTGATAAACAGGTCATTAAAAGGGGTTAACACGTTCACCCGTTTAATAAACGGGTTGGGTTAATGTTGAGGATTCTCGACATAATTATTAAATGGGTTGGGTTTGAATTTACCTATTTAGTATAATACCCTTACATCGACACGACCCATGAACAGGAATTGTCACCCCTAACTATTATTATTAGTTATTACTATTCTTATTGTTATTGCTAGCACAAAGCCTTTAACCAAGGACAATCTAATGATTTTGATGATTACAAACCATTATGGTGTTTATGGACTAATGTTTACATTGAGTGTTATAGATAAGTCATATTCCAAGAATGACCTCAATGAAGCAATAAAGATCCCATCAATGGAAATAAACGAATGTAAAGAGACATGAAGTTGCAAGGAACCATATGCAAATCCATCCAAAAATAGCTTGGACTACAATGAACAATCAGACAACTCAAAGAAATAAAGAAAGCAAGAATACTTTAAAGCCTAAATGATCATGGACAAAGCATGAAGAAATGGGTAGATAGTATGGTGAGTGTTTAGGATTCAATGTCAAAGTATTTATGAATCTATTTGAAACTCATCTCTATAGGACCATGCATATCATATCATCATTCACATGTTCCTATATCCACTAGCAATAGACTATACATTTCATCACATACATATTTGACACATGAAGTCATTGTTAAAGAATGAGTGAGTTCAAACTTGCATAAGCTTTGAAAGAACTCATCACTTGAGCTAGAAATGATAGGACTATGCACATTAATCATATGTTTTATTTTGGTCTCTAGAAAGTAGAGTCTAAGGCATTGAACTGACTTTTTCATTCACAAAGCCTTTGTTACCATGACTTGGTAAATGACTTTATGATCCGGACATTTCTTATGAAAAACTTTCCTTTGGTTTTTTGGCTAAGTATGGAAAATATAATTTTTTGAAATAAAGATATTTTCAAAATAATTTTTCCCGGTAATTACTCCTTACATTTCAAATAGCCTAAACTGATTTTATGAGATTTTTTCATCAATTCTACATAGGCCTACACGGAGAATTAAGTTTTACAAAAATTGTAGGAAGCCCAAATTTGTACTAAAACTGATTTTCTATATTTTGATTTAGTTAGATTTCAATTTTCTTATATTTTTTATTGAATCCAAATGGGAGGTATTTCCTAATTTACATTGTAAACTTAAAGTAAATGGACATTTACTTAAATGTTCAATGAAAACAAGTGTCTGCTGAAATAACCGACATGTGCTCGATCAGATGGCCAAAACAGAGTAAAACAATTTTTTCATTATGTCATTTAACCGATTAGATCCACCATGTAGTCGATCAGATACTTAAAACAGTGAGCACACTCTTGGATCGCATTTCACCATGTAACCGATTACTTCCCTCTGTGCTCGGTCAGATGGCCAAAACAGAGCAAAACCATTTTTTCATTATGTCATCTAACCGATTAGATCCACTATGTAGTCGATCAGATGCTTAAAACAATGAGCACACTCTTGGATCGCATTTTACCATGTAACCGATTACTTCTCTCATCTAATCAATCAGATGATTCCAAGTAATCGATTAAATGAAACATGTACTCGATCAGATACAATTTTAGATCTAATGTAGCCGATAACATCATCCATGTAATCAATCACATGAGATCTAGATTTAATGTACTCGATTAGATTACTAATGTAATCAATTAGATGGTTTGCTGAAAGTATCCAAATGAGCAGAAACTTCATGGGAACTTACCATATTGCCCCCTAACGGCTATATTTTTCAAAGGGGTTATAAATACACAATGTTTGGACATTGTAGGGATGTATTAGAGAGAAATAGAGAAACCTTCTTGAGTATCAAAGAGTTTTTGTTCTTCATCTTCTTCATCC